TTCCGCCCCCTCGACCTGCAGCGGCCGCGCCAAGGCATAAACGCCGTGCAGCAAGACGCACGAGCGACGCTGATGCTGAAAGCTGGGTCCACGAGAGACATCCCATGCCGAAACACGCTGTGCAACAGGGCGGCGTGCGAGGCAGCTGCGGCTGGCTGGGGTTCGGGCGCAGAGGCCTGCGTAACGTCGCCACGCCCGTTCCAAACCCGCGACCCCCTTCCGCGCAACCCGCAGCCGCGCCGCACGCAGGCAGGATGAAGCGTGTTAGAATCAGTAGCTCCAAGGTCACCCGATCCCCCGCAACCATCGCGACTGGCGTCAGCAAGCCGCCCCATAGTGCCCAACACCCCTGTGTTGGGACCTCGATGTGGATCATCCGCAGCGCTGCGCTCCACCTCCCACCTCCCCCCCTTCCCTCGTTACCTCTGCTCTCTGCACCAGCCTCCCCTCCGTTCCTCTGCCTTCCGCATGTATGCAAAAGTTTGGCACACTAGTCAGACGTCACGTGGCCCCCCCCATACGGAGCTCCACCGAAGGCGCCAGTGGACAAGTCCGCCTGCTGGGCGGCTCCATTTCGGAAAGTCCGTCGCACGCTTCGCGACCAAATGGGTAGTTTCACCCTCGGATGCACTGGACATGTCCACATGATGGACGGCTCAGTTCCGCTGCGCCCCGCACGCGATCCGCCCAATAAGGAGTTCCAACGAAAACTCCACTGGACAATTCCACATCATGCCGGACGGCCAAGTTTCATCACCTTCTACACGCTTGGCGGCCCCATTGTGACATCCAGCGAAGGCCTCAGTGGGCATGTCCGGATGCTGGCTGGCTCCGTTTCGACACACACACACACTCGTGCCCGTGGCCCCATAATGAGCACAACCTACGGCCCCAGCGGACACGTCTGCATGCTGAGCAACTCCAGTTCGGCACACACCTCCCACACGTCGCGCCATTGTACGGAACCCCACCGAAAGCTCCAGTGTGCACGTCCACATGGCGCTGCCACGATGATTCCGGCACATTCGCCAAACGTGTCGTGGCCCCATGGTTAAGCCGGGCGTGCCCCTTTACAGGCGGAATTTTGGACGAATGATATGGAATAAATGATAAAACATAATCCAAACACAATACAGTCGGGGCGTTGACCTAAGGAACCCAAGCTAAGGAACGAGGCCCCTTTTTTTCCACAAGTTAACCTTCTGTATCCGGCCGAAAACATAAGGAAAGCCTGAGGCAAGCTGTGAAACACTTAAGGAACGCAAAGACCCTTCCCAACGAAAGGGTTCCTTCTTCAGGGCCCCGGCTGTACTCAATCAGAGGCCGCAGCGTGGAATGGGGATTCCCCGCTGCAATGTCCCGGCGGAGAACCGCGGGTCACGCCCGGAGGCCGCGAGGAGGACATCCACCTCCACGCCCATATCCTCCTTGACGTCCACCACCTGGTCCTCCTGCGTCCTCCGCAACAAACGCCTGCATGTGTCGCCCAGTTGCGGTTGCGGTTGCGCGCCCGCGGGCGGCTTAACATGTGTCGCCCAGGTGCGGTTGCGCGCCCGCGGGCGGGTTGAAATGTGTCGCCCAGTTGCGCTTGCGCGCCCGCGGGCGGTTTGAAATGTGTCCCCCAGGTGCGCTTGCGGTTGCGCGCCCGCGGGCGGGTTGAAATGTGTCGCCCGGGTGAGGTTGCGGTTGCGCGCCCGCGGGCGGATCGAAGTGTGTCGCGTAGTTGCAAATGCGGTTGCGCGCCCGCGGACGGGTTGAAATGTGTCGCCCAGTTGCGGTTGCGGTTGCGCGCCCGCGGGCGGGTTGAAATGTGTCGCCCAGTTGGGGTTGCGCGCCCGCGGACGGTTTGAAATGTGGCGCCCAGGTGCGCTTGCGGTTGCGCTCCCGCGAACGGGTCGAAATGTGTCGCTAAGTTGCGGTTGCGGTTGCGCGCCCGCGGGCGGGTTGAAATGTGTCGCCCAGTTGCGCTTGCGCGCCCGCGGGCGGGTTGAAATGTGTCGCCCAGGTGCGCTTGCGGTTGCGCGCCCGCGGGCGGGTCGAAATGTGTCGCCCAGTTGCGCTTGCGGTTGCGCGCCCCCGGGCGGCTTAACATGTGTCGCCCAGTTGCGTTTACACCCCGCGGACGGGTCGAAATGCGGCGCCCAGTTGCGGTTGCGGTTGCGCGCCCGCGGGCGGGTTGACATGTTTCGCCCAGTTGCGTTTGCGCGCCCGCGGGCGGTCTGAAATGTGTCGCCCAGTTGGGATTGCGGTTGCGCGCCCGCGGGCGGGTTGAAATGTGTCGCCCGGTTGCGGTTGCGGTTGCGCGCCCGCGGGCGGGTCGAAATGTGTCGCCCAGTTGCGCTTGCGCGCCCGCGGGCGGGTTGAAATGTTTCGCCCAGGTGCGGTTGCGCTTGCGCGCCCGCGAACGGGTCGAAATGTGTCGCCCAGTTGCGCTTGCGGTTGCGCGCCCGCGGGCGGGCTGAAATGTGTCGCCCAGTTGCGCTTGCGCGCCCGCGGGCGGTTTGAAATGTGTCGCCCAGGTGCGCTTGCGGTCGCGCGCCCGCGGGCGGGTCGAAATGTGTCGCCTGGTTGCGGTTGCGGCTGCGCGCCCGCGGGCGGGCTGAAATGTGTCGCCCACTTGCGCTTGCGCGCCCGCGGGCGGGTTGAAATGTGTCGCCCGGGTGAGGTTGCGGTTGCGCGCCCACGGGCGGGTCGAAATGTGTCGCCCGGTTGCGGTTGCGGCTGCGCGCCCGCGGGCAGGTTGAAATGTGTCGCCCAGCTGCGCTTGCGCACCCGCGGGCGGGTTGAAATGTGTCGCCCAGGTGCGCTTGCGGTTGCGCGCCCGCGGGCGGGTCGAAATGTGTCGCCCACTTGCGGTTGCGGCTGCGCGCCCGCGGACGGGTCCAAATGCGTCGCCCAGTTGCGGTTGCGCGCCCGCGGGCGGGTTGAAATGTGTTGTTCAAGGTGCCCTCTTGACATTCAGTCAGTCAATCAGTCAATCAATCAATCAATCAATCAATCAGTCACTGGCGGGCGCGGAATGTCACCCGCCTCCGCCAGAACAAATGGTCAAACATAGCCGCAAAGGCGTCCCAAACTAATTGCTTTGTTTTCTTTTTGGATACCCCCCCGTAGAGGGACAGGCCCGACTTCACCCCATGGGGAGTTCCAACTACGGCCCCGATGGGCGCGACCACGTGGCACCACCGCCTCGCTTGTGCGCAACTCTCGCGCGCTTCGCGGCCCCCGTCCGCACTGCCCCCCGGCTCCGCCCCCCCTCGCGGCGCGCTACCTCTGAGCAGAGGGCCACATCCTGCGTGGGTCGCGCCTGCACGGGCTTGGGACATTCGCCAGACTAGTGTGAAAGGGAACTGGGACGCGGAAATAAAAAGATACAAATAACCAGATTCCTTTGATTTTCCCAGATTTTCTGGGTTTCTGTCTTCCCCCCCACTTTTCTGGGGAATCGACGATTAATTGTGTCTGTGTGCTTTTCCCCCTCCTGATAATTAAGGCTGTTCCCCGGGGCCCCGCCCAAGAGCCAGCGGCAGGGTGGTAGAAACCGTCCCAAGACGCTCCAACGATCGGAACCAACAGGGCCTCCAGCGAGGTCCCAACAAGCGAACACCATGGAAACACATCAGACGGCAAATGCCTGTGTTTTTGCATCCGAGGCTGTTCCGCTTCGGACTGTCTCGACAAAGTTCCACGAACTTCGAGAGACGTCCCGAATGTCTGCCTAGACGTCCTGAAGACGATTTAACCGAATATATCCGAACGAGCGTTCTTCCAACGTCACGCACAATACCGCCCTGAGACCTCCGACGGGGCCCCACCGTGCTTCTTAAGACGTCCCCCAGAGGCTACAAACGAGCCCACAAGAAGCATCCAAGATGCCTTCGAGAGGGAGGCATGAGGGTGATGAGGAGGAGGAGGAGTTGAAACGAGCAAGGAAGACGCGAAAGAGACTGCGGACACGGATGGGGGTGTTCAAGACCCACACAAGCTCAAACAAGGCACTGAAAAGGCGTGAGTCTGAAACCGAACCTCCTTCCTGAGGCGCTGCTGCGCTGGCATGGTGGCGGGGGTTCGGCGCCGACGATGGGGGAAATGGCCAAGGGGGGAGCAATCCATGTATCCACGGGCGCCGATGCTCCATATCTTCGGCGAGGCTCCCTGGCGAATGCGTGGAATGCCCACCCCTGTGCTATTCGCCCCAAGTCATCTCCGGGGGGGTGCCGCACGCAGCTGGATACGAGACCTCTTTCCGCCCCCCGCTAGAGGTCTCAGACTCAGCCTGCCACCTGCGAGCGGCGGCTTGAGCGTCTGCTGCTCAGGCCGGCAACCGCGCCAAACGCGCTTCGTGGGCTGCCGAGAGGGGGGCGTCCAAGAGGGGTGTGTGCAAATCATGGACGGCGGCATGTGCGCGGCCCACGACGGGGGCCAGGAACGTAACGAAATAAGAAGAGGCGCAATGAGATCTGGAGAGATATCATGGCCCCTGCCATGATATCCCCCCCCTAGTCATCACCCCCCCCCTTGGCCGCCCCCGAGCGCTGCCCCCCTTGGCTGGAGGCCGAAGCAGGAGAAGGAAGGCTGGGAGCAGCAGCCGCTCAGGACTCACGAACAGGCCGTGCCTCGGCCTCGCTCGGACTCGCGGCGAGGCCGTGCTCGGCCTCGACATCCAGCGGTGGAAGACCGCCCAGCCGTGCAGCAGGCCGGGTGCCAGATGGAGCCGTCGCGGGCGGGATGTCTAGAAAAAGAAACAAAACACATAAACATAAACTCTTGGCGGTTCGCGCGAATTTCTTGGATTCGCGCTGGACCCTTTGTTTTTGGCGCGCGGAGCGCGCCAGGGGCGGCGCCGGAGGCGCCGCCAGGGGGCCCAAGCGCGGACCCAAGAAACCCGCGCTGAGCGCCAAAAGTCTATGTGTATGTGTTTTGTCCTTCTTCGAATCTCGACCGTCCTGGCGGCCGGCGGATGAGCAGCCTGGGGCGAGAGCTGGCCAAGGATGGGGGCATCAGAGCCCCCACCCCCAGTCTCGGTCTTCCTCCAGGTCCAGGCCCAGGCCCAGCTCGGGCGAGGGCTGGTTGGCCACGAGGCTGTAGTGGGCCGATCGCGGCGGGAACTCGCAGCCGTCCATGCAGAAGAACACCTCTGCCCTCGCCGCGGTCTCGCCGTCCGGCTCCGACCAGTGCTGTGCCACCTGCTTGCCCCACGCAGAGCTGCTGAGCCGCCGCTCGGCGACGCCTCGCAATCTCAATGCGCGCTTCACCACCCTGGCGCGGTGCACCGAGCAAGCCCTGGCGATCCCCCCTGGCGCTGCTCTGCCAGTGTGGGCGTCCACATGGAGGCGCACGCGCGGAAACCTCTTCCCCACGGCCGCCGCCTCGTTTATCAGGTGAATGGTGGGTTCCATGAGGTCGGTTCCTCCGCCGTACGGGAAGTACACGTGGTTCTTCGTGGGGCCGCTGCACGATCTCTGAACCTTCGGGGATGGACAGACCTCCCTTTAGTAAAACGTGGTTTAGTGAAAACGACCTCGGGCCCAAACCTGGCGGGCGCAAGCCTGGAGAATAACGGCCACGGCGCCCTCTCGAGAACCGAAAACGGACAATTCACTAATCGACGTGTCACTGTTGGGGGTTCTGTCCACCCCCGAAACCTGCAGGCCCAGGGCCAGCAGCTCCAGCTTTGCACAGCCCTCCGCCCATGAGGCCCCATGCCGCCGCAGCTCCTCCGCGCGGCGCAGCGCAAAGTCCAGGCCACCCACGTGGGCCCACATCTGCCGGCTGGTCATGCCCAGCCGCGCCAGCAGCTCTGGCTCACAGGAGGTCTCCCCGATGGTCTCGACCACATCGGGCCTTGGCTGCCCAGATACGCAACACGCAGGACGTAGCGTACTCATGCGGAGCTCGACACGTGGGCTGAGAACGTAGATCTGACGCGATACGTTCGCCAAGACGTGGGCCAATACGTTGAGCCAACACGCAACGTATTGACACGCACGTCTTGAGCACGGCACGTGCTGCGTATCAAAACAGGCGTATCGAGGCAGCTAAGCATCAGACAGGTCCAAAAAAGCTGGAGGCGGGGCATCGTGTTCGTTGTCCTGGCCGCCCGAGACTGCTCGTACCGCGTCCGAGCCCTCGCCTGCTTCGGAGACTGCTCGTACCGCGTCCGCGCCTGAGCACGGCTCGCGCCGGAAGCCGATCGTGCAGGCAGGAGCGGCCACCAGCTCCAGGCCGATACCCTGCAGGTGCTCCAACTGCATGCGGCGCACGGGGATCACCAGCTGACCCCACGCCAGCGGTGCAAAGACGAGAGCTTCTGCGAACAGTGACTCGTGCCAAGAGGCCTTCTGCCAAAACGGCTACGTTGCACAGTCGTCGCCAGTGAATGGCGCCAAAGAAGGCCTGGAAGGATGCATGCAACACGAACTTTTGCGCGATCGCTACTCAATGGAATATTGAGAAGCCCGTGATTGCGCGAACATCGGTGGACTCCGCAGCCACGGCAGCTGCCGTGGTCTCATATTCCCCCTGCCGATCTCGGACGCGTCATCCTCGGGCCCCTGTGAGGCTGTCGAGTGAGATTGTTGCTCCGTCTTTCGACCACCCTGGTCCGTCTTAGGCCGCCCGGCTTGGCCGTCTTGGGGGTCCCTTGAGGGTTTTCTGGGGCCGTGTTGGGCACTCAAAGGGCGCCCGCGACTCAGGAACCCTGCGCCGCGTGCAGGGTGTACCGAATCAGTCTGTTGCGAGTATGGGAACGACTTGACGTGCCATCGCTCGGACGTCCACTCCTGTGCATGTCTCGGTGTCGAGCCCTTGATTTTCCCAAGATGGTCCAGGAAGCTCCTTGATGGTCCCCGCCGAGAAAAGCGCACACGTCCGAGCGATGTCAAACCGAATCGCAAGACAGCTCGCCGCTTGGGCCCCACCGCCAGGCCAAACGGCGAGCATCAATCGGGCGTAGCCCCGCACGAATTCGAATGCCCACACTTCGTCATCGTACTGCTCGTTTTCCTCCCCGTCCTCCTCCCAATCCTGATCGTCGTCGTCGTTCTCCTCCTCCTCATCCTCCTCGTCTTCTTCCTGCTCCAACTCCTCGTCTTCCTCGTCTCCTCGTCTTCCTCCTGCCCTCGGCGGCTGATAATAAAAACCGTCAGGTTCCGCCCTCGGCGGCCGCTGCGCCATAGGTTGCGCCTTCGGCGGCCGAGAAACACATGTCTCCTACTGGTTGCGCAATAGGCTGCGCCCTCGGAGGCCGAAAATAAAACCACCTCCTATCGGTTGCGCCATAGGTTGCGCCTTCGGCGGCCGAGAAGAAAACCGTTTCCTATCGGTTGTGCCATAGGTTGCGCCCCTGGCGGCTGATAACAAAAAACTCCCCGATCGGTTGCGCCATAAATTGCGCCCCCGGCGGCGGAGACAAACACCGTTTCCTATCGGTGGCGCCATAAATTGCGCCGTCGGCGGCCGAAAATAAAAACCCTCTCCTATCAGTTGAGCCATATGTTGCGCCCTCGGCGGCAGAGAATATAACCGTTTCTTTTCGGTTGCGCCATAGGTTGCGCCCATGGCGGCCGAGAATAACACCGTCGCGTAACGGGTGCGACCAGTCTGTCCAGCTCAGTTCAGTTCAATTCAGTTAACCTCGCGAGAAACAAATTTGGGCTACGCCCGAAATTCATCAGAGTGAGGGGGCCGAACGGTCATTCACTGTCCCTGGGTGCGTGGCTGAAGTGGAATTCCGCGGTGCGGATTCTCGTTGTTGTTGTTTGTCGTTGTTGTTGAACACTATTACTTCTAAAGAATTATTATTGTTGGACCCCCTGGTGCACGCCCCCCGCCCAAAACCTAGGCCGCAGCTACATTTTCATCATTTTTCTGCGAAAGCTTCAGAAAAGTGGATTACCCCCGGATCCGGTTTTTTGTTGACGCTCGTTTTCCCTTGCAAAAAACAATAGAAAATGAAAATTCTTGTTCTTAGTTGATCAAATTTCAAGAATCCCTTGCAAAAAATAAGGTAAAGTGGACATTCGCGCTCGCAAGACGAAATCCTTCCAAAACCTTAGGTTTCGTAGCGATTTTAACATAAAAACATCAAAAACCCAATGGTTTTTTAAGAAAAAATTGTCAAAATGTCCTTCCGCGCGCTCTTGCGGATTCATAGGAAACACACCACTTTTTAAACATTTCTGTCAAAAGGGTCTTTGCGTGCTACTTCTTCAGGTGCTTTGAACTTCTCCAACAACGGTTGCGCGCCTGCGAGGGCCACCATCCCTTGCAAAAAATGAGACGAAGTGCACATGCGCGCGGCCGCCGCGCGCGCATGTCGAAATCCTGCCAAACACAATGGGTTTTCAATAATTTCAAGATGCGATGTTCAGAAAACATATGAAAACGCACTACTTTCTCATTCGAAAAATCTCGAAATCCATTCGCGCCCGCTCCGCGCCATCGCAGACGACGATGCGTCGCGCCTTTAGTATGCTTCTGGATGCGAAGACCATTCGGTTGAGTATACCCCTACGTGTGACTGGACCTGTTTGCGAAAGCAGGAGAAAGTATGGCACCCCTTTGTGTCCAGAGCCGCGCCGTCTGCGTTCTTCCTTTCTCGCTTCTCTCCTTTCCTCCTTGTCCTGCTCCTCCTCCCCCTCTTCCGCCTTGGAGCCGTATTGGAACTGTCGATGGCCATCTCCCTTTCTCCCTCGCATGTCTGCTTGTACATACGTATAATTTCAGAACTTACCGTGCATGCGATCGTTTACAACATGGTGGACCGTGCGTATGTCACGAACCTTGTATACATGTGTTTCTCTCCCTCCGTCTGGCTGTGCACGCGCGCGTTGGGCACTGAGAGTTAGGATCATAGCGCCATGAGTCTATGAGCAATGCATGCGTCATCCTTGGGACTGTATAACATCAGTGTAACACATGTACTTCTGTAATCGCATCCCCACGAATTTGCCCCAAAAATGTGACCAACTATCTTGGCACTGCGTACCATCTCACGTGTACCGTGTACCACATCATATGTAACAGATGTGATCAACCTCTGTGGGTGTGTACCCCACGCCAGTGTAGTAGCCAGGGTCGTCCGCACGCCACGAAGTGAAGTGTCCCAACGTCATAGGGCGGGAAGCTGGGTGTGGGTGGTCTCGAAGAGTCGTTTGGATATTTGGTAGAGCTTGAACGGCCCCCCCACGAAGTGGGGGTATTGGCTGGTGTCGCAAGAAAACCCTGGCACTGGGGAGAACACTGAGCGTTCGGGTAAAATGATTGTTGTTGTTGTTGTTGTTGTTGTTGAACATTATTACTTCTAAAGAATAATTATTGTTGGGGCCCCTGGTGCACGACCCCCCCGCCGCGCCTAGGCCGCAGCCTCATTTTCATCATTTTCGTGAGGAAGTCTCAGGCAAAACGGGGGAGTCCGGATCCGGTTGTGTTGTTACGATCGGTTTTCCCTTGCAAAAAATAAGCTAAAGTGGACATTTCTTGTTCTAACATAACCAAACTTCAAGAATCCCTTGCAAAAAATAAGGTAAAGTGGACATTCGCGCGCGCAAGACGAAATCCTTCCAAAACCTTAGTTTCGTAGCGATTTTAACATAAAAACATCAAAAAAACAATGGTTTTTCAACAAAAAAATGTCAAAATTTCATCCCGCGCGCTCTTGCGGATTCGTAGGAAACCCAACACTTTTTAAACATTTCTGTCAAACGGGCTTTTGCGAGCAACTTTTTCGAACTTCTGCAACAACGGTTGCGCACCTGCCAGGGCCATCATCCCTGTCAAATAATACCATGCGGGACACATTCGTTTTTTCTTCGCGCGCGCACGCCGTCGTCGTCGGCCGCGGGGCCCTGAATAGTAGCCACGGTCGTCCGCATGCCACGAAGTGAAGTGTCCGAACGTCATAGGGCGGGAAGCTGGGTGTGGGTGGTGGCGAAGAGTCGTTTGGAAATTTGGTAGAGCTTGAACCGGCCCCCCCACAAAGTGGGGGTATTGCCCGCCT